ATTTTATCAAATGCTTTTTCGGCGTCAATAGAGAATCCAAAAGACACTGAAAGATAAGTGCTGGCGTGGCTGCGGAGAAAAAGGAACTCTTTTACATTGTTGGTGGGAATGCATAATGGTGCAGCCTCTATGGAAAAAGGTATGGAGGTTCCTCAAACAATTGCAGATAGATCTACCATATGACCCAGCTATCCTACTGCTGGGAATATATCCAAAGGAATGGAAATCATCAAGTCGAAGGTACACTTGTTTCCCAATGTTCATTGCAGCACTCTTCACAATAGCCAAGAGCTGGAATCAGCCCAAATGTCCATCATCGGATGAGTGGATACGGAAAATGTGGTATATCTACACAATGGAATACTACTCAGCTATAAAAACAAATGAAATACTGCCATTTGCAACAACATGGATGGACCTTGAGAGAATTATATTAAGTGAAACAAGTCAGGCACAGAAAGAGAAATACCACATGTTCTCACTTATTGGTGGGAGCTAAAAATAAATAAATAAATTCACACACACAAATTCGGGGGGCGGGGAGAAGACATAACAACTACAACTCCTTGAAGTTGATACAACAAGCAAACAGAAAGGACACTGTTGGGTGGGAGGGGGGAGAGGGAGGAGGGAGGGGGTTTTAGTAATGGGCCACAATAATCAACCTCATTGTATATCGACAAAATAAAATTAAAAATAAATAAATAAATAAAGGAATCCTGCTGTATATCTTGTTGTTTATTTTACTCTCAAATGCAAAGTAATAAATTCATTGTACGGCTCAGCTCACAATAAAAAAAAAAATGAATGGTGCTGCTATAAATATGATCTCATATTCCTTTTGGGGAACATATGTATACATTCTTGTTGGAAATATACCTGGGGTGAAATTGCTCAGTCACGGGGCATACATAGACTAGTAGTATTAACTATTATTTTTATTAGCCATCATTTATTATTGTCATAGTTTACTTATTATTATTAGCTGTCATTATTAGTATTAGCTCTTAATATTAGCTCATATTATTGCAGTTGCTGTTAGTTACCACTAATGGCCTAGGGTTAAGATGGGGTGGATGCCTAAGTAGCTTGTGCCTCTTGGAGAAGAAGACTCAGAGGGATGGCAGGTGGTCCCCACATCCAGGGTATCCAGTCATTGGAGGCCCCTGGCCCATGAGGTGGCCTGGCATTCTGGGTTCTTTCAAAAGAGAAACAAAGGCCATTTGTGATCTAGGCAGGTTCCCTTCTTGAGAATCTGAACCAGAATTCCCTGAAAGATCCCCAGGTGGTGGCCAGTGGGTCAGCATATGGAATGAGATATGCTACTCAGAGGGAACAGAGAATAGGGTCCACCCTCCCACAGCCAGATCCACCCACTGTCTTTGTCCAGTGCTGAGCCTAACCATCTGGGTCATATCAGACCACTGCCAACAGGCCTTCTTTAAGCAACCAGTGACCCCCCACCAACCACCAGCATTGGGAGCCTGTGCCATCAGACCCCACTGCAGAGAAGGACACTCATGCCTGGTTCCATGTCCAAAACATTTATTTTCAGGAAATGTTTGTGCCTGAACAACAAGAAAACTTTGTGGGTGTCTGTGGCTGCCATAGTGAGATCTGCCAGGACTAACTGGGTCACCAGAGCCACAGAACAAAGACAAGGAAAGCAGCAACGACTGCAAGGCCTGGAGCCATGCAGGGGGAGGATTTTGAGAATGACCACTTGAGTGATAACTTGGGGGTCCAACGTGTGGGAACCTCTGTTAGTTTATAGTCTGGAAGCAGATGATGTTTCTGGTGCAGACGTGAGAGGATGGAGCGGCAGGGGCTGCTCAGCTGCTCATCCGGGAGGCTGTCCTCCAAGGGGCTTTGCTGCTTGTTTTCCTCCCGTACCTGGAGGTGGCAGTCAGTGGTCGGCAGCTCCCACAGCTCTCCCCCACACACCTACTCAGACCCGTGAGCCACTTTCTTGCCCATCCCAGCATACCTGTTCCACTTGTCCAAAGACCCGCAGCAGGTTTCCACGAAGGACACCCTGAAGCTCTTCCTCACTCCAGCCACGACTCAGCAACTCCTCTATCAGTATGGGGTATGTGGACACATCCTCCAGCCCCTGAGGGAACCTGTGTGGCCACCAGCCAGCTAGCAGGTGAGCCTCAGACCTGATTCCCTGATCCTGACTCAGAACCACAGCCTTATGTGTCCAGGGGCCCCTGAACCCTGGCCCTGGTCAGATATGGCAAATGGAGATTTGGAGAGAGGAAGTGATTTGCCCCTGCTCTTCATCTTTCAAAAGGGGGCCTCAAACCTCCTGGAATATTTGTCAAAACTCATTAAATTGTACTATTAAGATCTATGCCTTTCACTGAACTCAAAAAAGAAGAAAAGCTTAAGAACCAGGCTGACCCCCTGCAAGCATAACCCCATCCATGGGCAGAGAAGATGGTGAGCCCACACCAGACTTTGCCAATAGTATGCTCACAGAGAGGGTCATCTGCTGGGGCTGGGGCGGGTGTGAGCGCTGAGCAAATGAGCTCTGTCTGGTGGTTTAGCCACATATCATGTCCCAGAGTGGGGCCACTGGGCTGAAGACAGACAGAAGAGCCCACAAAACAGACCCTGGGAATGGGGAGATGCCAGATAGTCAAGGCCTAAGGTCATGAGGACTATGGTGTGGTGGGCATGGTGACTGTGATGACCCCACTGCTGTACAGCCATTCCCAGACAAGCCACAGGGAAGCACTCACTTGCTGGCCCCATCATAATCTCCACCAATCCCAATGAATTTGGATCCAATGACTGCCTTGATGTGGTCGAAGTGATCTGGGGGGATGGAGAGTCAGAAGTATGGGGCTTCAAGGGCAGGGGTGACACTGGGGCTGGACTCTGCCGATTCCCCTTTTTGCAGCTGGGAGGCCATGCAGGCCAATTCTTTCATGGCCTGGCACCCAGATGGCAACTTGAGGGCCCCGAGGTTTGACCTGAACTGATCCCAGCTGGCTCTAGACTGGACTTCAGATTTGGAGTAGACCCCAGAGCCATCTATTTGGGCCATTTCCCATGCAGGATTCACCCTGCCTCTAGAACCCTTGAGACCCCAGTGAGGGCTCCTTTCCAGGGATGTGGAAGACGAGAGGGACAGTGACAACGGACAAAGACCCCAGAGACCCATGAGGCTGCCCAATCCCTTGGCCAGAGGCAGGGCAGGGTGCTTTGGTAGCCCCTGCAGAGGCACAGATGGTTAACACCTGGGCTGTATGTCTGCCTGCCTCACTTACGCCCAGTATCGACTCTGTGCATCCAGTTCCACATAGCACCAAGCTGCTACGTACTTTCCATTATTGGATTTCTGGTCAAACTGCTGGGACTTTCCTGAGGCCCACAAGGCTTCAGGTCCAAATTAGAGCTGTTCAGAGACCCCAGGGATGAGGGGAAGAGGCTTACCTGCTACAGTGGACACATTGGCTAACAGGTTGCACTGCAGCACCCCCACGGACAAGGACACCATCACAATGCCACCATTGTTCTTCTACAGGGGTGGTCAAATGGACACTCAGCTTGGCCCTCCAAGCACAACTGCATGCCTGCCCACCCACTAGGGCCCTGGAGGAAGGTATTCAGCCACAGCTTTGGGAATCAGAGGAGACTTCACCTCTCTAGGTTTGTGTGAATGGAGGAGTCTGGGCCCTGTTTGAGTGGAAGTGTCTTGGTGCTGGGTTTGAGGAATAGAGGAGTATTTGCCATCTAGAACCTTCCACCCCTAGCTTCAAGAGTTCAGGGGCTGTTGACTGTGGGTTTGTGCAACAGAAGATGTCCAGCCTGGGGTCTGAGGAAGTTGAGGGAGCAGGGGCTCAGGTTCAAGGGTTCCTGGTTTGAATTTTTGGCTTTAGATTCCAGGGCTGGGCAGTTTCTCACCAGAAGCTGAAGGATGTCATCAGGAACGTTCCTAGCATTATTGCACACACCCCGAGCAGCTGAGTGGGAGAAGATCACAGGTGCCTGCGACACTTCCAGAGCCCGCCGTGCAACCATGTCCGAAACATGGGACAAGTCTACCATCATGCCCAGGCGGTTCATTTCTGCCACCACCTTCTGCCAGGACGAGTTGAGAGGAGGATATCAGATGTACACACGTGTGCACATTTATTTGTAGGGAACAGGAGGGGTGTGTATATTTCTGTAGGGTGGAGAAGAAACCAGGGTCCTTACCTCACCAAAACTGGTCAGCCCGCTGACATTGTTGTAGAAGGAGTGGATACCCTTAGCCGAACTTTCTGCCCTGCAGGACGGCCAGGAGACAGTTTGACTGGTGGCCGTCCTTTGGCCACAAGAGCCTAGAGATCCTACCAAACTGTCTCTGTCTTTGCAACCCCTTGGAGCAAAAACAGTGACCTAGGATGGGCTGTGCCCAGCAGTAGGAAAGCCCTGCTGGGATCCAGTCTTGCTAGGCAAACCCCAGAATCCCAGCTCCCCTCCCCACTCCAGGGTCAGCATCAGATCCCAGGGATAAGGCTTGATCTGGGTCCACAGTATGACCTTGGGCAGTCCCTGCCTCAGTGGGCCCACACGACCTGCACTGTGCTCACCAGGGTGTGTTGCAGGTGTGGGTGAGCGTCAGGTAGCGCACTCCCAGTACATAGAAGGTACGCAAGATGGAGAGGCTGCTGTCTAGTGAATGGCCACCCTCCACACCAATGAGGCAGGCCAATTTCTGGCTGTTGTTCAGAGCTGGGGGCAGGTAGGTCAGGCAATTATTTTCAAAGGCTGGATAGCTCAATCTAGTCCCTAACTGCCCCCACCAACCCACCTACCTTCAGCCGAGGTCACAAGCTCCAGTTCAGAGTAGGAGGCACACATGCGGTGAATGAGGTCAATCTGCTCCAGGGTGAGGCGCAGGGCATCCTGGTCCTGAGTGTGGCATGGGACGTAGGCCGACCAGAACTGGAGGCAAGGCCAGGAGCTGGCTTAGGCAAGCACTGCTTTGGAGCTCCCTGATAGCCTCCCCAGCTGACACAGCACCCAGAGGTCACATGCAACACACTGCTTATTCTTTTTTTTTTTTTTTTTAATAAGATGACGAATTAGGGGGTGGGGATCTTAACCCTTGACTTGGTGTTATCAGCACCACACTCTCCCGAGTGAGCCACGGGCGGCCCACGCACTGCTTGTTCTGTAGTACCTTCATACCCGTCAAACTGTAGCCCCTGCAGCCCTCCGCATCTATACCATGGCACTTTTTGAGTTGCTATGGTAACTGAGTTCCATGTGACTTGTGATTTCTGGGTCCCCACTCCCCAACATTCCCCAGCAGCCATGCTGTGACACCCTGTGTGTCCCTGTGGTACCTGGGCGCCCACGAGGCCATCTCTAAGCCTGTCCAGGCTGGTCTGGCCATGACTGAAATTGCGCAGGTTAACATCCTGTAGCCCCTTGGGGTAAAACTGCCTCAGGACCAGGGGCAGGTCATTGTGGCTGGAGGGATATTAAAGTAGGGTCAAGTCAAGGACAAGCGGGTGGGCCCATTAGGCCTCCAGGTCAGGCAGGACATATCCGGGGGGTCCCCCACCCCATACTGTCACACAGATTGCTCTGAGGCCTGGGCTGGGGGGTTTCCACCAGGGACGGGGTGACTGAGGAGGGGAAAGGGCACCCATGGATGATGGGAAAGAGGGCATACAGGGGTGGCGTTGGGGAGCCTCCTCGCTAGCCCTGCATGCTCAGGGCCCCCTCCCCATGCCCAGGGATGCGCTCAGCCCCGCCTGCCCCCACGCCACACCTACGCACCCATCCACGAGCGGGAAGTCCCTCATCAGGGCCCGCGCGCGCTCTCGCAGGCCCAGGGCACTGGCGGTGCCCGGCGTGGTGAGGGCGCTGGGGGCGTCTGGCGCTGTCGGGGAACTGGGGGCGCCCGGCGTGGTCTGGGCGCGGGTTACCGGGGGTGGCGGCAGCAGCTGGAACAGCAGCAGGCACAGCAGAGGTCGCAGGCCGAAAGCGCGGGAACCCTGTAGGTCCGCGGGCTGCATGTTGCGCAGGGCCGGGCAAGAGGGCAGGGGTGACGGTCGCGAGAGCTGAGAGGGCGGTCGAAAGGCAGAGGACGACGACGAAGTCCGGACCCTCGATTCAGGCCACTCAGCGGCGCGGAGTTGCAGGAGGGGGCTGGAGTCGCGAGATCCTGCGACCGATACGCGGAGAGCCGGGATGCCGCGCAGCGCTGCCACCAGGGGGCGCCACGCCCCTCCTGCCCCGATCTCGAAGGGCGCCTGGGAGGGCTGGGCCGGCCTCACCTCCCGTTATGGGCTTCCTCCGCCCCTCCCCCCGGTCCCCACTGCTCCCAGGGGGCTGACCCAGATTGTTCCCCGCTGCCCCTAGGCTTGCTGTCCTAGAGAGAGGGCCTGGGGTGCTTCTCCCAAAGAGTGGCCCTGGGCTCTGAGACCTCTCCCGACCACATCCTGTCCCCCACGGCCTGCAGCCTACCACGGCTACACCGAGGGCCACAAGGGTCTCTGTGACCACAGTGCTCTGGATTCTGGGTTTCCCTGTGCTGGGCCACGTGGGGTGGGCGCCGGGGAGGAGATAGTCTCTGGAAATGAAGGGTTAATCTTGTGAACTCTGGATTCAGGAAGGGACCCTGTACCTCTGATTACCACTCTCCCCTACCACTGTATTCTGGATTCAGGAAGGGACCCTGTACCTCTGATTACCACTCTCCCCAAATCCATCCGCTGGAGACTCTAGCCCGCAAGTGGGAACTGCCACGAGCACCCCTCTTCCAGCTTCCCCAAACAGCCTCTGGAAAGAGCTCCCTCCTCAGGAGATGCTACACTTCCCGAGGACCCAAATGGAGGCACATTTGGGATGAGAACTGAGTAAGCACTTAGCGAGGGTTGGGGAACGTTTTCTTAATAGAGCAGGAACCCGGACAGTCAGCTATTTGGATGGAAGGAAATGAAGTAATTTCTAGGGCAGCAGAGCCCTCACACCAGCACCTTCCATTCAGAGCTGCTGTCGGACCTGCTGGCCAGAATCCCTCCTACCTCAATGTGGAAGTCCTGGCCTCGTCCAAATCAGAAGTATGGGTCCTAAGGAAAGGCCTGGGACCTGGGTTCTGCAGCTACTCCCGTCTTACCTCCTGGCTCTTGTGGTTCTAACTGTCCCAGAAACCTCAAGGACTGAGCTGCCTTCCTGCAGCAGGTCCCACCCCATTCCCAGCCTGGGGCTATCTCTCGAGTTGTCTCCTCCAGAATTGCCCTTTTCAACCACACAAGAGCGCGCGCGCGCGCGCGCGCGCGCTCACACACACACACACACACACACACACACACACACACACACACGGGAGATGTGCCCTCTCACAGAAGCCCGTCACCTGAGAGGTTTCAAGGTCTTTGCCCAAATTCCTTTATTCCTGGTGACCTTACCTTCCTCTTGCCTATCAGCCTCTCAAGATTCTGCTCTGAACCTTGGCACCTCTGGACCTGCTCTTCCTTTGGAACCTTCCCCAGGTGGCAGGACAGAGCAGTGCACCTGGGTAATGACCTAAGTCTGAGGACTGGAGGCGCAAGAAGGCACTCTATACAAAGGAAATGAGCAAACTCTTCCAAAGGGACTGAAGGTCCCAAACTACCCAGGAGAGGAAGTGTTTCTGGCAAGGATGCATTTTAGGGACTGGGCACCTGATGTTGCCCAGTGCCTGCTGTCCCAGAGGAAGGCAAATCAATGGCACTGTGCTAAAGGTGAGTCTATTCCTTGCCTACTGAAGCTAGAAGATTCTATAGGGAGGCCCACTGCAGAGCGTGAGTCCCTTAGGGCTCTGCTTCAGAGAACAGTAGGGTGTGTCCCTGCTCTGGATAGTTTGGGCACCCCAACTCAGACCTGGCTCCTTCCTTCCCTCCATTGCCCATTACAATCCAGTAGCCCCTCATACCCACCTGTGCAGCCGAGTGGCAAAAGGGAAGCTTTTGGCTTTGCTGGTCTCTAGGTCAAGGATATTCTGCCTTTGATAGCTTCCCCAGGAAGTGGAAGGCAGAAAGAATACGGAAGAGGTGGTCAGGAATAAATAAATGGCAATCAAATAGCAGCTGCCATTGGAGGATTGGATGGGGAGAATTTCTGAGCTTTTCTAGCTTTTCTCTAGGGGCTGAATATTTGATACCCCAGGACTCTGGAGAAACACTAGCCCAGCAGAGGCAGGCTGTGTTGAGCAAGTGAAGGTGGGCACTGTCTCTGTGGAAGATTAGCCCGGCAACATGATTTTCCATAACATCCAACTTTAGTCCTCAAACTTCAGCCTCAGGGTGATCGTATAAAGTCAATCACAGAAACACAAACACATCCAGACCCTTATACACTCAGGTGCATGTGAACGCTTATGCCCAAGCGGTAAGCAAGTTTTAGCCTGTCTTCCCCTTAACCTCCCCCAAGGCCATCTCTGTGCTCTGCTGCTTGCAGGGGAAACAAACACAAGCTAGTGAAGTATCAGTGGCACGATTTTCCCCCAGGGACAATTTGGGGGCAGATGCTATGACAAAATTTATCCAGATGCTGGCAGTGAGAAGTGGAAACAGCGTGGAGGCAGGGAAGCTCAGGGCCTGACTCCAGAGCTGTCCCTAAGCATCGTCCCTGATACTTCCTCACTGTCTCCCCCACTCTCCTTCATGGCATTTCCAAATTCTGCTGGTTCAACCTCCAAACATCTCCCAGGGGTGTCTCCTCTCTGTTCCCACTGCCTCTTCCTCAGCACAAGCCATCTTCATCTCTTACTCCTCCTTGTCTCCCCGTCTCCAGTCCCTACAGTGAAGCTATACTTATCCCTCTTTCAAAAAATCTGATGTTAGGCTGCCTAGTTAGCTCAGTTGGTTAGAGCGTGGTGCTGAAAACACCAAGGTCCAAGTTTCAATTCCTGTATTGGCCAGCCCCCAAAAAAAAAAAAAAAAAAAAAAAAAAAAAAAAAAAAAATCTGATGTCTTCTTTCTGCTTAAAGTTCTTCTGAGGCTTTCCATTGCTCTTAGGATATACTAAATTAATTACTTTGGTTTTCAAATCCTGGGGAGTCTGCTCCCACCAGCCTCTCCAGTCTCAGCAGATAGCACAAACCCCCTTGCCCTCTAAACTCTGGCCACATCAGCCATGCTGCCTCCCCCCGCAGGGCGTTGGCACATACTGCCCCCTCTGCATCCAAGCAGGGGCTGTTGAAGAAGGGACAGGAGAAGAAATCTTGCTACAAAGAAGGGGTAGGCAAATGAGCAGCTTCTCCTTCTAATTCTTCACCTATGCAGTGTTTATGTAAACCAGAGGAGAAGACACATAGAGGAGGCCATGGTAGAAACAGGTTTCTCCCAGGACCAAGCTTATTCTGGTGGTGGAGCAGGCCCACTCCTACAGATCTCCAGTGCATTGCAAATATATACAGGGAAGTAAGAAGTCACTCTAAGTGGTATGAGTGTGGGGGCGGGGTGGAGGTTGGGACTTACTCAGTATCCATTGTTGCCCAGATGATGGTCATCTCCGTTCTGGGAGCCCTGGTCTTAGAAACTCATACTGCCCCTGCTTCTTTCTGGATGTTGCTCTGCAACTGCTCCCCTGATAACAGCGGCAGTCAAATTGCTGAGAAACAACTGTCTTGCAAGACAGAAGACAGCCTGGCCACTACTGATAAACATTCTCCAATCACAAAGCTGAGGCCACCCTTTCTGAAGTGGCAAATAGCTAGTACATTTTTCTTCCTCAAAAGGCAGCCAGTGTTTATTTTGCCTGGAGAAGTACAATAACCACAAATTTGTCCTCCTCTCCTACTTCTTCCCAACGTTCTCCCCAGCCCCCACCTTTCTTTTCTGCACCATTGGCAGCCAACATTCCTGGGCTGCTTTTTGATGGAGTTGACTGATGACTCAGGTCCCATGTGCACTGCTAAGCTCCTCTTGTAGCCGGGCTCTGCCTGATTTCAGGCAGTAAGGAGGATCCTGAACACAAGGTCCCTATAGCAAAGTCACAGGATCCAAGCCTGTGCTGTCTGACAGGCTTTAAGTGTCTGACTGGGCTGCTTCTGGAGATCAGATTTTCTGGTAACTTGAGTGTGAAACCTACAGGCTTGGAGCCTTTGTCCTGAGGTTGGGTTACATGCTGTCTGGTGTACTTGAGGTAGTGCCATCATTAGGGCATGGCGGGAGGGGGAGGCTAGAGGGACTTTGGCTACAGGAGTAGGTCGCAGTGAGACCCTCGCTGGTGTCCCTGTGGTTCAGATGGCAACCCCTGATCTGTGATATTCAGTTCCACGGAGAGGGGGCATATCATGGAGAACTCTATCGAATCCGAAGCCTCTCTGGTGACATACCCACTCTCTAAAGGTAGGGACATGGGTAAGCCTCTCGGTGCTCTCAGGTTCAAGTCTTGCTGGGACCTCTCCTTCCTCCTCCTCCTGTAGCCATCTGTAGTGGTGTCTGCTGCTGCCACTGGCAGGTGAGCTCAGTGAGGCCACGACCACCATATTCTGGCACTTGGCACTACACCGGCACACAGCAAATGCTCAACTAACATTTGTTGACAAGTGAGTTGACTTGGCACTCAGGAGGCTGCTGCCTCCCCTTTTTTCATGGAATAAGGGCATGTGATAAGAGTGATATGAGAGCAGCCAATGTCACCGTGTGCCGAGAGCTGTGCTAACTGTTTGATGTGCTTTAGCCCATTGAGTCCTCACAATAATAGCCCATAAGGGAGGGTTTTTAGCAGCCTCATTATCTGGGTGAGAAAATTGAGCTGCTGGGCAGGCAAAGGATCACAGCGACGCCCTCATGGCCAAGTCAGACAGAGGTTCCTCCAATTACTCCACTTCCAGCTGCTGCCTCTGCTACCAAGAAAGGCCTCGAATTCCGTACATCCATCCAGTTGTCCAGACCTCCCCTTACTGATCACCCACTGGTGCTGGCCCTTTGCTGGGGTATGCAGGGAGGTAGCTGGCATAGGCACACAGAACAGTGGGCTGTACGGGCACCAGGTTCTCTGGAGCCTGTCCTGACCAAACATCTCCTAGATAGCATGGGTGATTTCACATTTAGCCTCAAGTTCAGACTTGCTGTCTCTTGTGCTCAACCTTGCCTGCTCATCTCTGAGGCCTGTCACGCCTGTTTCTGCACCAGCATGCTGTCAATAGCACACCCTGCCCCAGAGCTTCCTGTTTTGATGCAGGAAACATGCCCTCCTCTGCCTGGCTTCCATGGCTCCTGGTAGCTAGTCTACCCTGTGAGGCTGGCAATCTAAACTCTCACTGATTCCAAATAATGCTGAACATCTGGCTGCACCTGAGGAATTTTAAATTTTTTCAGTTTTTCTTAGGAAAAATTTCAAACATATAGAAAAGAAGAGAGATATGAGAATATTTACCTCCCATGTACCCATTACTCGGCTTCAAGAATTATCAACTCATGGCTCATGTTGTTTCATTTATGCCCTCACTTACCTCTTTCTACAGTTTTTTTGTTTTGTTTTGGTTTTAAACCACAGCCCTCGGTATTCCTAGATGGTTTCCCATCTAAGTACTGACGATGTCCGGCCCTGATTAGCTTCCAAGATCAGACAAGATATGGTGCATTCAGGTGGCATGACCATAGACTATGGATTATTTTAAAGCAAATCACAGACTTTTACTTCCTCTGTATTTAAGTATGCATCTTTAAAAGGTAAGAGCTCTTTTTAAAAGACAACTACCATACCATTATGGCACCTACAAAACATAGCAACATCTTTTCTTTTTCTTTCTTTCTTTCTTTCTTTCTTTCTTTCTTTCTTTCTTTCTTTCTTTCTTTCTTTCTTTCTTTCTTTCTTTCTTTCTTTCTTTCTTTCTTTCTTTCTTTCTTTCTTTCTTTCTTTCTTTCTTTCTTTCTTTCTTTCTTTCTTTCTTTCTTTCTTTCTTTCTTTCTTTCTTTCTTTCTTTCTTTCTTTCTTTCTTTCTTTCTTTCTTTCTTTCTTTCTTTCTTTCTTTCTTTCTTTCTTTCTTTCTTTCTTTCTTTCTTTCTTTCTTTCTTTCTTTCTTTCTTTCTTTCTTTCTTTCTTTCTTTCTTTCTTTCTTTCTTTCTTTCTTTCTTTCTTTCTTTCTTTCTTTCTTTCTTTCTTTCTTTCTTTCTTTCTTTCTTTCTTTCTTTCTTTCTTTCTTTCTTTCTTTCTTTCTTTCTTTCTTTCTTTCTTTCTTTCTTTCTTTCTTTCTTTCTTTCTTTCTTTCTTTCTTTCTTTCTTTCTTTCTTTCTTTCTTTCTTTCTTTCTTTCTTTCTTTCTTTCTTTCTTTCTTTCTTTCTTTCTTTCTTTCTTTCTTTCTTTCTTTCTTTCTTTCTTTCTTTCTTTCTTTCTTTCTTTCTTTCTTTCTTTCTTTCTTTCTTTCTTTCTTTCTTTCTTTCTTTCTTTCTTTCTTTCTTTCTTTCTTTCTTTCTTTCTTTCTTTCTTTCTTTCTTTCTTTCTTTCTTTCTTTCTTTCTTTCTTTCTTTCTTTCTTTCTTTCTTTCTTTCTT